ACTACCAGTTTACCGCCCTAATTCACGATTGTTCTCACTATTTTAAAGCGCCAGTGGGTTTTTATAGCGAAATATAATAATAATCCATACAATTAGCTAGACTAGAAGCAAACGTGTGAAAGGTTTGCGTCTATTCTGTTGTGATGACAATTTTTTTGAGTTTTTTACATATAGCATTTTAAAGTGCCAATATTCAAGAATATTAAACACCCAAAATAATTGGTGTACACTAAATTCGAATTACTATGCCGACTTCCATAGAGAAATTGGCCATGGAAAAATAAATTATTTTGATTTTATGATTTTGACTATAAGCGATGTAATCGCTTATAAGTCTAGACGATGGCAAGCTGTAATTTTACCTAGCGGGTGACCTCCACTCTATATTAACTCTTTTCTACGTAAACATTGTTAAAGAAAAAGCAATGAAAAAAACTTGTTTACTTTAACAAGCAGGTACAGAAGAAGCAAGTTACACCACCTGCATTTTAATTTAACATTATGCATTTTAAAAATGTTAGGAATAAACAAATTTAAAAACCCCTGCGGTTATACTACCTGAAATTATGAAATAAATTATAACATTGCCTGGTTGCCATGAAGGTTGCCTGGAAAAAATTACTTTTAGTAGTAATGGCGCCCATTGTACCCATAATTTATACAGTAAGTTTTTAGGTTCCCGTATCCAAAGGGTAAATCGGGACCGTATTACTAAGACTTCGCTGTCTGTCTGTCTGACCGTCAGTCGCCAGATTATATCTCATGAACCGTGATAGTTAAACAGTTGAAATTTTCACAGATGATGTATTTCTGTTTCCGCAATAATAAAAAATACTAAAATACAGAATATTAAACTAAATGGAGGAAAAAAATAAACGACTTTTTTGTGGTTTTTATAGATAATGTTGCGGAACCCTTCGTGCGCGAGTCCGACTCGCACTTGGCTGGCTTGGTTTTTGGTTGTTCTTTATTTTATTTTAGTATGCAATAAAGAATATTCCTTCATTCATTCAACATTATATTCCTGCTATTTAAGTACAAAAAATTACGTATTAATGGGGTGATTACTAAGTCAGAGGTTAATATAGTGTGATAAGAATCACAGCGATTTCTAACTACGTCACAAAATATTTATAATAGTGTCAGTTTCTCCGCATGACGTGTACAGGCCGCATGTGGGGTTTTACGCCGGCTTAAGAAGCAATAGAGTTCAAACACACCAAAATAAAATCCAGACCCTGTTTGAATGTGTTGAGTATAACACGTTATAGCACGCTCTACTTTCAAACTTATGTAAATGTAAAGAATTACGTCTTAGAAAAGTAAATTGTTGTCTAAATTTGGATGTAATGATTCAAAATATTAATCAATTTACTCAGAATAACAGTAATCACCTAAGAACTGTTAGTTTTGATCCAAGTCTGTCTAGTAGTATTATGTAGTCTGCGTACAGCTATGATTTTGTATCTATAGTAGTGTCTAGCGTATTTAATGACCGTGCGAATAATCTCGCATAGAAGAACAGTCAGTGGTGTAAACACCTGTTGTTTTAATTATATTATTGCCCTTAGAAAATTATAAAGTAAAATATTAAACAAAAAAAAATGTATTAATTTTGGATTTGTATTCATCTTTGATATTATATGTAAATACGTTTTCCACATTTTTTATGGAAAGTAAGTTAATTCAATAAATTTGTTTTAGTAACATGTCAAATGTCCGTCATATGTTTTACTAATCATGGCTAGGGGCGATAGGAACTTGATCAAAAAGGAACTTGATCAAAATATTTAATAGCGACGTGATTTAAAACCTATCCACAGTAGGTCGTTTTAGGTTACCAATTCATGGGCGTACAATGCTTTTACAAACAACCACAAACTTGATCATTGCGACCATCGACAAATACTTTCGCGTTTCGTCTGGTGAGTGAGGTAGCCGGAGCCCAATTTTCAAAAGGTTGTCAACGCATCTGTAACCCTCGGGTGTAGCAGATGTCCATGGGCGGCGGTATTCACTTACCATCAGGTGAACCGTCTGCTCGTTTGGCAACTTTTCACATAAAAAAAAGACCTTGATTTTGTGTGAATTGTCAACCGACCGACCGACGGATTTCAGTGACATACACACGTACAGAAGAATTATGTATGTAAAGGTAACAATTTATTATAAAATGTAATTTTAATTCCTTATGAGCTCAGCGAGCTAAGGAGCGGGCTATTTTTCTGCGTGATAGAGTTAGCAATGCAGATAACCGCAGTAGAACTTAGTCAACTGATATAGCTCTGAAGATTAGTAAGCTGAAGTGGCGATAGGCCGGTCATATAGCTCGTAGAACCGATAACCGATGAAAAAGAAAGGACCTTGGGTGGCAGCATCGTACAGGTCAACACAGTGTAGGACGACCCCCCACTAGATGGAGTGACGAATTGTGCAAATGTGCGGAAAGTCAATGGATGCAGGTAGTTCAGGATCGTGCATCGTGGTAGTCTGTAGGTGAGGCCTATTCAGCAGTGGACTCAAACAGGCTGAGAAGATGACGAATATTTTAAACATTTTTTATACAAAAATTTGATAACTTTTCTGGGATTTTCCAAAGCAATTGTACTCGTGTTGCAGAATAACGCCTTTTGTATACAAATTTTAATGTGTCATCGTACGGCGTTAGCACTATAAAAATTTTAAAATTTCATATGGAAACGACGACATCTCTCGTTAGAATATTATCGGCCGTTAAGCTTAGCTGAGACGTTTAAGGACGTTCAAGAACAGAGATATTTTAAGAGATCCTCAAATTTTCCAAAAATTCAGGAGAGCTTGTTTTGAGTAGCATCATTACGGGTCAGATTCGGAGATCATTAGGGATTTGGTCTGCCTCTACCACTCAACGTATCCATCGTTGACGGTTGCCAGTGGCATTCAACTTCGCGGTCATTTGAAATGGAAATCTGAGCTGGCTTAATCTGAAAAGCTCGGTGTCCTAGGTAAATACAAAATCAAATGTCTATTCAACATAGTATTATTACATTCGCTTATTGATAGTCAAAATACTATCACCGGTTTGGAAAAGAAAGCAACTGTACTGAGCAGAACCAGCGAAAGAAACTTAGCGGGCTTTTTTTTATTATTTTTTTTAAATAAACAGTTTCAAATGAATTCAGAGCAAGATAGTATCATCTGCCGGCCCATTGCCGGCCTATAAAGCACAGATTTGGTTTCACAGGGAGTACTGCTTTCACCTCCAGCGTTGGGGCACTAAGCAACAGCGCTATAAAATACCAGCTCCTTTTATTTGACCGCATCTGACGAAGAGTTGCGTGAATCGTCAATGATCAGGCCCAGTCCGATGAGGATGAGGAGTCGCCACTTTGGCTTTGCGAAGAGATGTTGCATCTATTTGCCGTTTCTACGGGATATATCACGGGGAGTGCTCCAAGGAATTGTTCGGATTGATACATTTTGCCGAATTTCATTATCGCCTAACTCGGCGTGCCACCAATTACCATTGACGACACCTTCATGATTGCCGGTCAACCGTTATGAGTTTTAACGCAATTTTCTACCCCGCATAGCTTCAATGTGGAACCAGTTCTCGCTGGCGATATTTCCAGAAATAAGCCTACTGCTGCCTCTAAGATCATCAACGCAGTTGTGACTCCTGCGATCTTGCAAATATCTATGGGCGGCGGTGATCGCTTACCATGTAAAAAGCAAGGATAAGGAAAATGGGATATTGTAGTCATATTATAAACATAGGGGTAATTCAGAATCGTTCTTCGTGGAAGTTTAATGGAAGGCAGTTCAGCGGTGGAATTTTAAACTTTAAAACTGACACCTCAAAGTGTTTCATTGTAGTATTGATTCATCACACCTCTTTTGACTTATGTTATATGTTTGATCATGGCTTAACATAAAAAAAAATATTTGAATCACGATTCATTTAAAAGTTCTCGTCTTTTATCGTCTGTATATTTACTTATAAAGCAGCCGTATACGATGAAAATTTTTAAGTTAATCCTACCTCAATGAACGGAAACTTGTTGATGTAAACATGTATACATACCCTAGGAAATAACTATATAAAAAATGTTTGAGGTTTACTTATGATAACCTCTTATCAAGACGATTGTTTATTACGTCACGGGCGTTTACTTTATTGCGTTACGGGCACATATGGAGTTTTACGTCGGCTTACGAAGTGCTAGAAGTCTCTTGATACATAATAAAAAGCCTGTTGTTGTTGAGAAAATTAAAAAATAATTAATTGGTATCAATTTTAACTAAAAGATTATTAACCAATACGCACACTTTTTTATATTAATTTTGAAAAAAATAATTACTTCACCTTATAAAAGCTTTCCTTACAGGGGTGTGATGTCTAAAAACGATACGATATATTCAGTTGAGAGCCGCTCTAGTAGATATTTGTTGTCCTGGTAGATTATTGTAGTCTTCACAAGCTGAGTTTCGTATTTAAAGCAACGTTTGGCATTGATAGGCACAGTGTGTACGTACTCGCTTAGAAGAACAGTCAATCTTTGCGAACAACAGAATTATAATATTTTTCTCTTTTGAAATTATTGAGGTATGTAGGTAGTAATACTTTGAAACGTGTGTTTTTATTACATTTTTACTTTTTTAATGTGATAAAGTGGCAAACGAGTTGGCGGTTCGCCTGATGTTAAGTGATAACTCCCGCCCAAGGACATTTGCAACACCCGTGTTGCACATGCGTTGCCACCTTTTAATAAAGTGGGCCCCAGCTACCTCACTCACCAGACGAAACGCAGAAGTGTAACACTTCAACTTCACTCCGGTCTTCTGTGAGAATGTGGTACTAACTCGGGCAGACCTGTAACACGGTTGCATGGTACTCAGTTAAACTACTACTTACAACAATCATCGTAAAATTTTACCTATTTATAATAATTTCTCGATGTTTTATTTAAATACATATTTATGTCATGCTATATTATTCACAATTTTTTTTTGCAGGTAAAATGCACGCCATACGAATTGCCCTACTTTTTGCAGTAGTACTTATCACAAGCGAGGCTCAGAGACCATCCTTCGCTGGTTTCAGACCTATAGGATATCCAGAAATCGAGACCAACGGCCCAATAGAAAACAGATTTGGTGAGGAAGTGCCCGGTCCGATTGAAATTAGGGGCAACAGAAACTTGATGAACAGGTTCAATAGTATGCCAATCGACAACAAGCCGTTTTGGTTTATAAATTGGCAGGCCTATAATGATTTTAGGAACAAGCCACAGACCTGGCAGTTGCGGCGAAACAATTTTATCGACTGAGCATATAATTATTTACTTTGGCACTTTCATTTCACTAATGAAAAGTCGCTTTTAGAGCCAGTAAAGAAAACCAAAAATTAACCAAATAGATTCATGTAGAATGTGGACGTGAATTATTGATGAGTTTTAATTTTATTGAATACTTCTACTTTGTTTCTTTAAATAGAAATTGTTAAAAGGAAGATTTGTATTAAAAGGTCATAAATAAATATTTTTAAGAGTAATAATGTGTTTCGTGTCGTATTTTATGCGGTAATAATCGAACGTCTATTTCATTCAAATTAATTTTCATTTAAAAGATATTATGTGATAAGATAATGACTTTCTCTAAGATCTCTTTGCAGATACTGTTTCTAGGGTGATTAAGTTTCAATGACAAGTGGTTTCGTGAACTTAGGATAAAACTTAGCATTAAGTTCATAGTTTTTCTGATTAAAAGAGAGTTTTCATCGTTATTGTTGCTATAACGGTATTGTCATTATTGCTACAACGGTACCCTGCTTAGTTATAACGTTAAGAAGACAAAAATGAAATAACTTATTGTTAATTCACACCGACACATATATTTCGTAAATTTAATGTTGATTTAAGATGAAATTTGGTGATCTTATTAAGTGATACATAAAGTGTAAAATATTAAAATAATCTGTTCAATCAATCAATCAGCCTTTTGCAGTCCACTGCTGGACATAGGCCTCCCCAAGAGTACGCCACAGAGTACGATCTTCCGCTTTCCTCATCCAGCCACTACCAGCGACCTTTCTCAGGTCATCGGTCCACCTGGCAGGGGGACGTCCGACACTACGTTTTCCGAGACGTGGTCTCCATTCGAGAACCTGTCTGCTCCAGCGCTCATCGGTTCTACGACAGATGTGGCCAGCCCCCTGCCACTTCAGCTTGCTACACTTACGGACTATATCAACAATTTTGGTCCTCTGCCGGATAATTTCGTTTCGGACTTTATCCCTTAGCGAAATACCGAGCATAGATCTTTCCATAGCCCGCTGAGCGACATGTAATCGGTGGGCCAGCCTAACCGTCATGTTCCACGTCTCGGCCCCGTATGTCATGACTGGCAGGACGCACTGATTGTAGACCCTGCTTTTTAGGCATTGTGGTAGTGGCGACGAGAAGATATGACGCAGATTTCCAAATGCTGCCCAGCCCAGCTGCACTCTTCTAGCGATTTCACGCTCAAAGTTGTCTCTACCTAACTGCAATGTCTGCCCGAGGTAAACATACTCTTGGACAACTTCGAGCGCTTCGCCGTTGATCGAAATCGGCTCTGGACTTATAAAGTCGTTGAACATGACCTTAGTCTTGTCCAAGTTCATCCTGAGACCGACCGATGATGAGGCAGCATCCAAGCTTTGCAGCATGATTTTCAAATCCTGCATCGATTTTGCCATTAAAATAATGTCGTCGGCAAAGCGGAGGTGGCTGAGATATTGGCCATTGATGTTGATGCCCAATCCGTTCCAGTCCAAGGTTTTGAAAACATCCTTCAGTGCGTTGGAGAACAGTTTCGGAGAGATGACATCTCCCTGTCTCACTCCTCTGAGCAGCTGGATGGGTTTAGTCTTTTGGTTTTGTACTTGGACGGACATCGTCGCCGTGCTGTACAGGCTTCTCAGCACCTCCACGTACCGCCAGTCGACTTGGCATCGCTGCAAGGATTCCAGAACAGCCCAGGTTTCGATGGAGTCGAAGGCTTTTTCGTAGTCCACAAATGCTAGACACAGCGGCTGATTATACTCTTGTGACTTCTGTATAACCTGTCTCACTGTGTGAATGTGGTCCACGGTGCTAAAACCTTTTCGAAACCCAGCCTGCTCCGGTGGCTGAAAGGCGTCAAATCTTGCGGCGAGACGGTTTGTGAGGACTTTCGAAAACAGCTTGTAGATGTGGCTTAGGAGCGCGATTGGTCTATAGTTCTTCAAGAGGGTATTATTACCTTTCTTGTAGAACAAAGCCACCACGCTCTCACTCCACACCTTCGGGGTAGTCCCATTTGCTATGACGGAATTAAATATCTCCTTTAGCTTTCTCACCAGTGGGGTTCCGCCTGCTTTGAGAAGCTCGGAAGTCATTCCATCTTCACCGGGAGCCTTCCCATTTTTAAGCTGTTTGAGAGCCCTCTCAATTTCGCCTTCGTCGACGTCTGGGAGATCGTCTGTAAAGTGGCGTGTCAGTGTGGCTCTTGGGTCGTTCGCTTCTGGCTGAAGCATGCGAGGCGTAGAGGTGGCCGTAAAAGTCTTCAATTTCGGCGAGTATTTCTGGAACCGATGTGGCGGTTTGCCTTCCGAGGTTGTGAGCTTTGTCAGGTGGCTCCTACCCAGTCTTTTAGCAAACACTTTTGACCCCCGATTTCGCTCAATCGCCTCTTTTATGAGTTGCGTATTGAAACTTCAGAGGTCACGTCTCACTGATTTGCGAATATCTTTGTTGAGACGCTTGGTGTCCACCAAAGCTCCCTCTGGCAGCTTACGTCGGATCCTCATCAGTTCCAGAGTTCCCGCCGACAATTTACACTCTCGGCTGCCTCGCTTAGCTTTGAAGTGCCTAGTTCCTACTTCGCGAACTATCCTGGACACATTTTCGAGGTCCTTGTCAACATCTGCCGTGGTTTCCAGCGCGGCGAAGCGATTGTGCAGTTCCAACTGGAACGCTTCAGAGCCAAGTGCGGTTTGATTCAGTGTTGGACGAAGAACGGACCTTACCATACGACTCCTTTCGACTCTAAAGTCAATATTTAATGTGCCTCGTACAAGTCGGTGGTCGCTGCCGGTATTAAGCCGATTGACCACAGAGACATCCCTAAATATGCGCTTCTTATCTGTCAAGATGAAATCAATCTCGTTCTTCGTCCTACCATCGGGGCTTCGCCAAGTCCACTTCCTATGGGGTTTCTTCTTGAAAAATGTGTTCATACAGAACAGTCCCTGCATGTCCAGGAAGTTGACCAGCATTTCACCCCTTTGGTTTCTGATTCCAACACCGTGTGGCCCGATGCACTTTTCCTCGCATTCTCGCACTCCCACTTTGGCGTTGAAGTCTCCCATGACAACGGTGAAGTGGGTCTTGGTGGTATTATTCATGGCCTTAGCGATATCTTCAAACATTGCCTCGACTACTGTATCCAAGTGTGTTGATGTTGGCGCATATACTGTTCGACTTTGAGGGAATACCTTTCGGTCAGCTTCAGTACGAGGTACGCTACCCGGGTCTCGATACACTGGACACCTCCAACACGTTGTCACGGAGACTCTTGTTGACAAGGAAACCTACGCCACCCTGAGACTGTTTGTCGCCCTCACGGAAGTAGAATAGGTGGCCGGATTCTAGGGTCTTCGTGTCCTCCCCCTGTCTTCGGACTTCAGACAGCCCCAGTACGTGCCACCTTATATTTCCTAATTCTGCCTCCAATTGCTCTAGACTTTCGTCCAGCCGTAGACTGCGTCCGTTATACGTCACCAGGGTCAGTTTGTCGCAGCCATCCGTAGCCCGGAGATTCCTAGCACCTCCCGCCCTACCGTGACCGAGGCCGCTGCCGTGACCTGGAATAGTAAGGATACCGGGAACTGGGGGCCGTTTGTTTGTGGCGCTAATCATTGGGGGATTGTGCCCATACTCACCACGCTGGGCAGGCGGGTTGGTGAGCGCAAGGCCGAGTCTCTTAACTTTACCGTAACTTTATCCGTGATAAGTTTAAAGACGTGTAGATAAAACTGCCGCAAAATGTTTCTGAAATAATTTCGTTGGTGCTGGCACGGGGATTTGAACTCAAATCGCCCAATACTCGGACGGACAAATTAAAAGCGAACGCCCGGACACCAAGTTATTCCGGCTCTAGTGAAGCTTTTAACAGCTCATTATTCAAAATCAAACCAAAAATCAGAATCATTCATTCATTGACATAAGAAACTTACATTTCATCTATCGATAGTCATATTTTGACTATCGATAGATGAAATGTAAGTTTTTTTTAAATCTATCACGGTTTCGTAATAGCGGAGAATGTAGATGCTACTAGTAGAAGAGATTTATTTTCAATAATTATACGTGCCATGGTGTCTCTTAGTTCAGGTGCTCGCTTATTACGCACGAGCAACCCTAAATAATCGTAATTAAAGGGTTGATTTACCATAACCTTATTGGTGTGGAAGATATCGTAAGGAAATCCGCATAACTTGAAAAAAAAATTCAAAAACATATTTTAAGATGTTTTAAGTCTGTCAACCCTCAATGGAGTCGCATATGCAGACTATGCCCTAAAAGTCCCATTCTGGAGAAGCCTTTTCCCAGTAGTGGGATAACATATGACTTAAAAAAATATTAATAAATATTTTTTGATGCCTGAATGACATGGACACCGCAGATAAGTGAGAAAATGTATTCTGCTATAGGCTCTTTACGAAGTCTGCGTTATTTTCTTCCCACTGCTACTAAAGTTGCGCTCGCTCTTTCACTACTTCTGCCCATCCTTGACTATGCTGATATTTGCTATCTTTACTTCTTTCTTCTGTCAATCTCTCCCTCCAAACTCCTGTACACTCCTCTTCCTTCTTCCAAAATCTTTTACAGTGACAGCTGTGCGTTTGTGGAATTCTTTGCCCCTTCACGTTCGACAAGCTAACTCTCTTCTTTCTTTTAAAAACCTAGTAAAAGCTCATTACTTGGAACTGTGAACTTATGCTGTCCTTTTTCCTTTTCCTATTTTTCGTGAAATCTTTGACTATCTCATTGATGTATAAATGCCTTCATCCGGTGTTTACAAGTGATTCATGTTCACTTACCTCAGCTCTCTTCTTTATGTCTCATTGGCAAAAATTCTTTTCGCAATGGTTGTCTGGAAGAAATCGCTTTCCGGGCGATAAGACCGCATACATTGGTAATTTCTGTATTAGATACATTCTTTTGTAATTTGTTTTTATACACCACAAAATTAAAAAATAAATATATAAATAATAAATGAACATGGACCAAAACATTTAACAACAACAAAACAAACTTTACCATCAAACATGCCATTTTTTTACCTTTCACAATTCAATATAGTGAAGTCCGCTAATCCGCAGTGGGGCCCCGTGGTGGATTATGCCCTGATACCCTCTGTATAGGAGGAGGCCTTTGCCTAGCAGTGGGACATGTATTTACTTTTTTTTAATATGTATTATAAAAGCTATTTTTCGTTGTTAAAAAAAGCCCAAATTTTTATTATGGAACGACTTACAATTTTTCCGTTTGTCCGTTATTATAGTTTAGGGACGGCGTGGACCCTTGTAGTCAATGCTTGAAAGAACAATGACAGTTCCATCGATTTGTGTAATCGCTACATTTCATTTCCTATTCCTAAAAAGTATAAATATTTATCTATGTAAAATATTTGGCATAACTAGTAAAAACTGATTTTAAGCGTATTTTACTTTATATATTATTATTTTTTATACTAAATGGCATACAAAATATACACGAGCAAAGATAGAATTTGCATGCACAATCTGTCTAGGCTTACGGTATTGCTTTAAAAAGACATTATTGTATAAGAGTTCTAACGTTTATTCTAATATTTTAACTATTACTGAACTTGAATATTAACAACTATTATAACAACAAGCAGCACTAGTGGATATATCACCGTCCGGGAACGCAGCCGAAATCCAAGTGACCGCTGCTCCATACGACCATGTGTCCCTTGGTTCGAGTAGATGATGTCACTTCCGGTATACAGTGTTGCCAGCGCCAACAATTGACATAACGAAACATCAATACACCATATTTTTCCTTCCAAATCTTTTTTATATAATCCCAAAGAAAAGTATAAGTAGCTTAAAGATTGCGAAGATATCAATTAAGTTGCGTATTATGTTTATTCTAGAAACTCACCTTTCACTGTTAAAATTCAGATGTTTCAATCACCATAAATCATACATCGCTGAGTCAGATGTTTACTTTTGACTATATGGAGCGATTTCTTATCACATCGACTACGTCATAAAACAGCAAAGAAGACGAGTATCCCCGCATGACGTGTTTGGGGCTTTACGTCGGCTTAAGAAATACTAGAACTGACTTAATGCTCTTGTGAAATTTTGCAAAGCATTAAATTATTTGTTGATAATGAGAAATTTTAAAAGGTGTTATTAATTATGCATTCCAAGCAAAATATTAATGATAAATCTCATTTCTAAACTTAATTAAGTAAAAAATTAACAATTTATATAAAAAGATAAATAATCCTGTAGTGTGTTTAAAATGTTTGTGCAATCAATTATTATGTGCGTTGTGAACCGATTGTAATATGTCGAGAGCCTGTCTTGTAGATTTTATTGACACGATTGCAACGGTACGAATTCGTATTTATAGTAACGTTTAGCATTCATTTTACATAGAGTTTCACCGATCTTGTTTAAAGGAACAGTCGTGTTGAGCGATCCACAACAGTATATATAATTTGTTCATCACAAAATTTCTAAGGTACTTAACATTGTTTTTACAATAGTATGTGTGTTAATATGTACTTCTAAATTTTTTTTCAAGTTAAAAAATTCTAAGCTTCACGTCATTATATTCTTGTTATAATTCAAAATTATTTAGTGAAAGAAATAGAAACTGAACATTTGATTTTTGTTCCAGGTGAAATGGCCATCATACGATTTTCTCTAGCTTTTACTCTATTAATCATCACAAGCGAAGCTCAGAGGCCGTTTTACGCTGGCCTGAGACCCATAGGATATCCAGAAATAGAGTCCAACGACCTAATACAAAACAGATTTGGAGAGGACGTGCCCGGCCCGATAGAAGCTAGGGGCGACAGGAACTTGATCAACAGGTTCAATAGCATGCCGATCGACAATAGACCGTTTTGGTTTACCAATTGGGAGGCGTATGATGCGTTAAGAAACAACCCACAAACTTGGCCTTTACGACAAAATAATTTCATCAATTGAGCATGAAATGTTTTACGAATTGGTGTTCTTAAAGAAAGATCGTTAATTTATAAAGCCAGTGAACGGAAAACCAAAAATTTGTTAAGTGTTATTTAATATATTCACATGTCAATCACTAATTTAGACATTTTTTTATTTTTACGAACATGGCAAATGTGTATCATTGTTATAAATAAGTATATTTAAGGATAAAAAAAAGTTTTTGTATTCCGTATTTATAAAAGTAGTTGTTAATTTCTGATTGCATGTACATACATATACTTAATAATTATGTACATCAGCTTTAATCCGTTGGGTTGATATTAAGTTTAATAGTGTTTTGGCATTTAGAAACGGCACAGAAAGTTTAATTCCTCAATGCCATAACGGTCTATACAGCACCGTTATGTTATTACTTAAGGCGTTTCTTTTTTGTATGTGGACTAATCCAAAAACTTTTACTCTTCAGGAAACTTTGGATATAAACACATTAATAGATTCCACTAATAGTAGGTTTATAATTTGGAGTATTTTATAAAATTATAAATAAATGGAAAATGTTTGACCTTTGTTGTTAGAAGCAGTACAGGTTAATAGGTTAAATGACGTTTGACGTTTATAGTACGATGAGAGAAATTGTTTATTTCTTTGAAACATCATTACTTTAGGTCATCCAAATAGATAAAAGCATAAATTATTTGACTATGAGTGTTGCGCTTTGCACCAGCATCTATTATACAATTACACCACAAGAAATGCTTTAATTGTTAGGCATTTTAAAATCTTAAACGACTACGATATCTTCCTTAGGTCTCCAACTTAGCAATTCCGTAGATGTAAATAAAGCCGTATGAAACAAAAGGTATGAAGTAAAATCTATAGAACTTTGGAAGATATTATTAATTCACAGAGCTTTCATTACTTTATCTGACATTAACTGCACGGACATTATAATCTGTAGTAGTCACCTCACTAACTGCTAATACAAATAGATATATTTTACTTACCAACCTCTCGTATCATAATTTAAAAAAGAAAGACAAGTGGAAAAAACTAAAGTAAGCTGCCATATGTTACCCACTGCTGGGCAAAGACCTCCTTCGTAGAGATGGTTTTACACGTACCCCATTGCGGATTGGCAGACTTCTTTAATAATACCTTTGTCTTACCTTTGTCAATATCTTTTTTTCATCATCATTATTCTCCTGCCCTTATCTCTCCTAGGTGGTTGTGGCACAACGTGTAATCATGTTTTCAGCGATTTTGGCTATAATTTTTACGACCGCTTGCCTGCCGTCAACTCTCCATAGAAAACAACCGCCCTTGGACATTTGCAATACCCATAGTGTTGCAGATGCAGATCTTTAATAGGGCACCGGCTACCTATTTCACCAGACGAAATGCAGGAGTGTAACACTTCTACTTCACGCCGGTCTTCAGTGTGGTCGTGGTACTTACCTCGTACGGAACTGCCCATTCAACAGGGAACACCCCAGTGTTACAGTTAACCCCCCCTACCCCCAAACACAGTTAAATTATTTATGAATAAAATGTACTATTTCAATGAAAAGTTTATAATAGCCAGATAAACTGCTGTCACAGAGTCCATCTCAATAGCTCGACAGTTTGCGTTATAAGTTTTAAAATTAAGGTCTCATACATGAAATTAATTTAACAATACATAATTAAATTCACTTGTATGCTTTTTACATAAACTATCCTTCTATAGTACATGACGGGGATACGCCAGAATTAACGTGACCAGACTCCATTATAATAAAAACACACACGTAATATCGCTTACGGGGGTAGGGCCGCGCAGCAGCCTCGGCTGTTGCACGAATAGGCAGGCTCGACCGGGTAAGTACCACGACCTCACAGAAGACCGGCGTAAAGTGGAAGTCTAGTACTTTCGCGTTTCGTCTGGTGAGTGAGGTAGCCCGAGCCAAATTTCCAAAAAGGTTGTCAACGCATCTGCAAACCCTCGGGTGTAGCAGATGTCCATGGGCGGCGGTAATCACTTAACATCAGCGGAACCGTCTTCTCGTTTTTTTTATGAGACAGTTTTGCATCCCGAAGAGAAGAGCAGAGGAAGAAAACTAAGCAGCAAATTTTAAAAATACAAGAAGAGATATCGAGGAATTTCAAGAAAAGAAAGAAAGCTCAAAATAGGAAGTCATTTATTTAGGTTATAATTGCAACCAGGCCTATATATATTATTTTGATATGTAAGGGAAGTATGAGAGATACAAGATGTTCTTTTAGTTTTATTCTATTATATAATTTATTTTGTTCCATAATCTGTTATGATAAGTGTGGTAGCTTTGTCTTTTGAGTATATTATATTTAATTTTTTTTAGTTTTGAACCTGTTTTAGTTTATAATATTTAAGCTTTTTCTATGTTTTAATTATTGTGTTGATTTGCCTAGCATATCATAATGGAGACAAGATTGTATAAGTATATTCTTTGCATTGTATAAGTCGCTGATTATAAGAATAGTTACTATTGAGATATTAAGTATGTAATGTTTAAGATGTAATTGTTAAGCATGTCTGAGGACAATCATGATGTCAGGACGGCCAAATGTGGGAATGGAACGTAAAATAGTAGGAGTAATATGTGAAAAGGAACGACGAGAGTGTGAGCGAGAAGATTATGAAAGGGAGAGATGATGGCGATGGCAAGGAGATAAATGACGGACACGACGAAAAGAAGTAAAAAATTATAAAGAAGTTAGAAACGTTTTTAATTGTATTTCGAACATTTCCCACATACACTTTCGGTAAAGAAACATATACGTGAAGAGTGATATTTGGCTGTCTGCGGGGGACGGTAAAGACAAATGTCAGTGGCATCGGAGACTTGAGTGTTGTTTATTACCTCTTCGGTCCCTTTTCTTCAACACATGTCGTAGTTAAAAATCTTTTAGCATAACGAATTTATTCAGGTGAACAACAACTAAGACCTCTTGTGCTAGATTTAAACTAACGGATTTATTTCTTTATTATTTTTTTTTTACTATGGTAGCCTCAAGCAACAGCTGCTCCTACGATTTGCAATTATTGAACGAACGGTCGGCCTCGTCCGGGGAAGTACCAAGCCCTCACAGAAGACCGGTATCGTATCGAAGTATCGTGAGAATGACGTAATCGGGACACACATTTTTAAAGGTTGTCAGCACATCTGCAGGTATTGTAGGACTACGGCTGGCACATTATTTACTTAGCATCAGGTAAATCGCTTGATCGCTTGACAATGTTTCTCGTATATTCTCGTTCTTAAAATCCGTTAATAGTATTTGCATGAACATCCATCCATACATACAAACTTTCGCCTTTGTAATATTAGTAAGGATGACTTTTTTTAGTATAAATAGCTCGCATCATGCATAATGTAATTACTCACTCTCTCTACTCCTTCTGTTCGTTTACGTGTTGTAGTTATCTTCCGCCAATTAAATCAGTTTGCTTTAAAGTTCCGAGTGTTATTTATTAAAAACATAGACCAAGTAATAGTCCTCGATTAGTCCATTTTTAGTAAGTGGAACAGGACAAGTTAAGCTTACACCGCACCCACTTCAAAAGCACCCCGCTAAGTAAGAGTTAGTCATTTAGCCACCGGTGACAAATCCTAAGTACCACGGCCCCATAGAAGATCGTCAAGTGGTAAAAGTTTTGTGTTCCGTTCGGTGAGTGACGTAAGCGAGCGTCCCTCTGTGTGATCCAATTTGTAGTTAAACGATGATAATGGTTCCACCACGTAAATACATAATTCGATGTAGAGCGTGGAATCCGACCGAAATGTTATCATTGTGCCCTAGTTTATCATTAATGGAGTAGTATATCCGCTGAGGTTTGAAAATTAAATTTTTCATAACATTTTTTTAACATTTGCATCGATAAAAAAGAATTTTTATAAAAAGCTGTGATGAGGTGAAATGGGGGATACCAGTTTGCATGTAAATTTCGTTAGGCGAGTTCATGGACAAAAGCTCGTCTTGTTTAATCGGGTAAATTTCTTTATTCGAAGCCCAGAGGCGCAGGTTTCTCGTCACAAACCAGAACGATGACTGTGCCGGCGTGACGTGCATGAATGGGGTTTTACGCTGCCTTACGAACCTATAGAATTGACTTTGTGATTATTTTTAATTAAATTTCTTAATTAAATAGTCATAATATGTAGACGCATAAGTATTTTTGATTCACTATTGTAATTTAAGTAAATCTTTAAGGTTTCATTTAAGCAAAAGGCTGTTATAGAATTCAAAAAATTAAGGCAAATTAAGGGAAAGGTTAATTAATCACAAATAAATCGCTTTTTAGATTAAGCAACTTTTATTCTCAAGTATTGGTAAAATAAATCTTTACAAGAAAGAAAAAAAAAGAAAAACGTTGGCACTAACATGTACACCTACTATAACACACGTCTACAACATTTACGATATTTTGGCAACAAAGTTATAAAAGCATCAATTAAGACATACTATTAGACATCACATTTAAAAGAAATAAAATCCAACAGCTAATACATAAAAAATAAAATACAAAGAACAACCCAACCTAAAAATGAAAAAGAGAAAAAAATTATTATGTAAATATAAAAAATTTACTAATTTTGCAGAATGACTGTCCCGTGACCATGGACTTTTCAGCGTCATGGTCACGGGGTTCAAAACGTCGGTTGGTAAATGAAATTTAAAACTAAACGCGATATGTACCAGTGCAATGACTTCAGTACTTTCTTTTTGTAAACACAGACATGAACAATACGAAAAAGTGATATAAATATTTTTTTATTCAAATTGAATGAACATCTTATCGTTTCTTTATCCATTGTTAATGTATACATCTATACGTATTCAGTTGTAGAGAATACCTGGTCGTTTGTATTTAATACGGTAGCTTCACTCAAGCGCACAGTAATCTTGCACTCCAGGTAAGGAGCAGACCTCTACTCTATATATTTTTTTTATCAAAAATTATTATAATATTATTTTTATATTATATATTATATATTATTTTCCTTAAATTCGTCCTGTTAATATATACTTCGAACTTAGCATATTTATAAGGGAGTGATAAATGTAACGTTTTTATATACTTACATATATTTTTTCAGATCACGATGGCAACGTTAAACATGTTTGTGATTCTTGCAACCATTTTTGTTTTGAACGAAGCACAAAGGCCCTTTTACGCGGGCCTCAGGCCCATTGGATATCCGGAGACAGAGTCTAACGACCTCCTAGGCAACCGATTTGGAGAAGATCAGCCTGGGCCAATTGAGGCTAAAGGTGACGGATCACTTGTAAACAGATTAAACAAACTGCCGGTAGATAAGAGGCCCTTTTGGTTACTTAACTGGCAGGCCTACGAGCGGTTGAGAAACAGAACACAAACTTGGCCCCTAAGACCGAACAGCTTTGTTGATGGCAATTTAAATTAATAAGTGTAAATAAGGCAAATGGACTGCATCAGTACCCTGATGCAGATTTATAGTGACTGCGATTATTTTGTATTATTATTTCTTTTGGTTTGTTTAAACTTCAATTTTGAAATTCGAAAGTCTCGCTTAAAAGTGTATATATAGAGTTAATTTTCTAATAAATAAACAACGGTTAATACTGTTTAGATGTTTTATTATAAGATTTCGTTGTGTTTCTTTGATATTGCTTATTATTTTTATTTTATATAAATATAACAGATATTACGTATTTTATAAATCCACTTTTGTCTATGATAATTAATAAAAAAACCTTTGTGGTAGGCAAAATACAAAATAAATGAACTGGTAAGTAGGACGGTTAAGGAAAAAAGCTTAAGAAACTGTAAACAAGTCATTTCTTGTCGAGATATTATGTCAAACGTGGATATTAATACAATATATTCTTTATTGAAATCTTAAACACCTTGTGGTGTTATAATTTACCGACTGGAGCCTTCTCTTCGTAAAATTATAGCGCAAAAGTAACAGGTCACTTAAAAATCTACGATAGTTCCTTAATTATCTAAAATAGGTTTGTACAATTATAGTACGGTGGCGATGAATAAAAGACGAACCTACCTCGACGCCAATCGTTAATTCATAAATCAATCGGCAGAAATATGTTACTTGTGTCTTTAGTCCGTAACCAAGTGGCGAGATTGTCTTTTCGGCAGCTGTGGCAATAAGGGAAAAACAAAGTGATTGATATATTTACCGAAATCCAATGCATTGCCAATTATTAATTTACCACAATATAACCACGTAAACACGCTATCCTGCGACCTTTCCTTCGCAGAATTTGCCGTGGGATCGTTTTATATTATGGCTTTGCGTCATGAAACGTGCCGGAAAGTGACGTAAGCCAAGTTGCAGAACCTACGTCTCACAATTGTACATGTATTGAATTCCACTATAACAGAAAAGTGTTAACGTTATTACATTAAACAGCTTAAAAACAAAAAATTTTGGTTAATTTATTTAAGAAATAAATAAACACCAGCCATACATACACTTTACATTTAAATTAGAGAGTAAAAAGTAACATGTTCTGATGCATCTACCTTATTAGGTGTAACAGTACTGGCGTAGTAAAATATGGGTTCTGTGATAAGACAACATCAAGATTACTCTGGAATAAATTATTGACTAAGTACAACTCTAATCGTATTTTAGTAAAATCTTAGTTTTTCCGGGATTAATTATAACAGAAATAAACACAATTAAATAGAAATTTGTATTCTTTCGTATAATAATCAGACAAGGTAAAATTGAAACTAGCTATATAATTGTCCTCGGTTTTTTACCTAAAGGCCGAGGAATAGGAGGAGCGAAAAAAAAAAAAACCGATGAATGACGCGACTGGTCTTCAAGACAACCCTGTTTGTATTTGAGTAAAAGGCAGTCCATCTCAATGTCCCTGTGGTCTCGAATCTTTTCCATGAATACGCCCGAAGAAGATCTCGTTCAAAGGCATACAGACACGTGAATAATGAATCATTTATTACATCAAAAGCTATATCTGTAACATTATAACACTATAAAAATAGTATGTCATATATACATATATATGATCGCTTATACTTCGCTTAGTAGTCGTGTAACACATCTTGACAATGATTCACTGTGTTCCAAGAGCCTACTATATAGAAGAGTAAAATAACATGATTTAATATTGACTATGTGCATTTGTATGATACACTCTTAAATAATGTAATCGTAAAGAAAATGTTGATATGAAACATCAACATTCACTGGGTTAAAATTTCTGTTTATAGTTCTGTTGCACATTAAAAGTCCCAATAACCGCGATCTATTGTCAGAATGTTCAATCATTTTTTCATCATATTTTCTTTTTTTAATTCTTGGACATTTGTTCTGCTGTATTTAAAAAGAATCACACGTAAGGCAAGACAGCTTGCAAAAGAAATATTAAAAACTTAATTGTTAAATCCCAATAAGCAAATATCTTTCGTAATATTGATAAAACTACATGTATTCGACAAATTCAAACGCAAAATTCAATCCATATTACAAAGAAGAAATTTCATTCCTTCATAACATTTATGCATGCAAATTTATAGAACCGAGATACCCGAAGTGAATTGAGAAGTAGCCTTTTCTTCGCTTCGTTAAACTGTTGAGAGGGTTTTCAATAAAGAGGGGTAGATGTAGAAAGTGTTTCAGGCTTCGCATGCATTACCCGTTTGTGAAGGCTTTGAACATAACTGCGAAATCGGTGGTTCGTCCATCCTAGTCTTTGTTGATTAGTGTAGGTATTTACCGTTGAAATAGATAACAGAGTAAATAATGATTGCGGCGGCTCATTTCATTGTGTCAATTGTAACTTTTCCAGCTTTGTTATCATATATATTAAACTGCTGGTCTATCTAGTGCCTATCTGAGCCACCTGCTACCATCAACTTCCAGCTTTGATATATATTTTCTAAAAGTAGGTACTATTTTTTTTTTTTTTTTTTTATGGAGAAAAGGGGCAAACGAGCAGGAGGCTCACCTGATGGTAAGTGATTACCGCCGCCCATGAACACCTGCAACACCCGAGGGCTCAAAAATGCGTTGCCGGCCTTTTAAGAAAGAGTACGCTCTCTTTTTGAAGGTTCCCAGGTCGTAACGGTTCGGAAAGACCGCCGGCGGCAGTGGGTTCACAGAGTGGTTGTGCGAGGCAAGAATGCCTTAAAAATCGCGCTGTTGTGGAACGTTGGACATCGAGGTGCTGTGGATGAAATTTTTGGTTCTGGCGCGATGTCCGATGGTGGAATTCAGCCGCCGGGATCAATCCAAACAATTCCTCAGAACACTCCCCGTGATAAATGCAGAGTGATCCAACATCTCTACGCAGAGCCAGAGGATCAAGCCGATCGGAAAGACTTTGATCGTCGATAACCCTAGCCGCCCTACGTTGAATGCGGTCAAATGGAAGAAGCTGGTAATAGGGGGCTCCCGCCCAGAGATGAGAACAGTACTCCATGTGGGGCCGATTTTGCGCCTTATACAGGTTTAGGCGTTGGGCAGCCGTGAAGTACCGTCTCGCCTTGCTGAGCACGCCAAGCTTCTTTGAGGCCAATTTGGCCTTACCTTCCAATTGACCGCGGAACTGGACATTGCTCGAGATTTCGACGCCAAGCATTCCGATACTAGCTGTGGCAGGTAGGGGAGTGTTCTCGAAATGAGGAGTCACGACAAATGGGGACTTTTTAGCGGTTAACGCGCAAACTTGTGTCTTTTTGGGGTTGAATTGGACTAGGTTTAGTCGACCCCAGTCTGAGACTTTGGTTAACAAAGTCTCGACCTCAGACACAAGTTTGTTCCGACACTCCGAGACGTTTTCCCGAGAAATGTTAGCTCGGCCAGTGTATGAGACATCCACAGTGCTATCGTCTGCATAACAATGGACGTTGCTAATTTGCAACATGTCATTGATATGCAGAAGAAACAGAGTAGGAGACAGTACGTAGCCTTGTGGAACACCAGCATTGACAAATTTAGGATCGGAGCATGCACCGTCGACGACGACCTTGATGCTCCGATTTGCCAAAAAGTTGGTGATCCAATTGCATAATTTCTCGGGAAGCCCATAGGAAGGCAGCTTCGAAAGAAGCGCTTTGTGCCATACCCGATCAAAGGCCTTCGCTATGTCCAGACTGGCTGCAAGCGCCTCCCCCTTGCTCTCAACTGCTTCTGCCCATCGATGTGTAAGGTAGACCAGAAGATCACCGGCTGAGCGACCCCGACGAAATCCATACTGGCGGTCGCTAATCAGCCGGTGCTCCTCTAGGTACCGCAGGAGCTGGCCGTTGATAACAGACTCCATTATCTTGGAGAACAAGGAGGTGATGGCTATTGGCCTGTAATTGGACGGATCAGAGCGGTTACCTTTTTTAGGGATCGGGTGCACTAACGCGGCCTTCCATGATTTCGGGACTACGCCTAAAGTATAGGAGTGCCGGAAGAGACGCGTTAAAACCGGCGCCAACTCTGGAGCACATGTCTGTAACACGATCGGAGGGATGCCATCAGGCCCACTCGACTTGTGAATGTCCAAGGAAAGAAGTGCTTGGCGAACTGCACTTTGCCGGAATTTTACCTCCGGCATCGTAACGTCGCACTGGGGGATTGATGGTGGTGAGTTTCCTCGGTCATCCAAAGTCGAGTTGGACGCAAAGAGAGAGCCCAGAAGATCGGCTTTCTCCTTCGCGGCATGGGCCAACGAATCATCCTCCGTGTGCAGGGGTGGAAAAGATGGCTTACAGAAATTCCCTAAGACAGCTTTGGCGAGAGACCAAAACGCACGTGTTCCCGATGGGAGACGCGCCAATCTCTCGCCAATTCTGCTAATGTGCTCCAACTTCGCTTTAGCAATAACGTTTTTGAAGGACTTAGAAGCAGAGTTATACTCCTTTTTTAATGCGCTGGTCTTTACATCACTAGACGCCGAAGCTTCAGCCCAGGCTCGGTAGCATTCCCACTTTCGGCGTAATGCCGTCTTGCAGGAACGACCAAACCAAGGCTGGGATTTGCCACCGATGGGTATTGCAGAAAATGGAATAAACATTTCCATACCCTGAAGCACCACATCGGTGACAGAGTCAGCAACGGCGTCTGGATCATCCAACGAGAAGTAAATTTGCCCCCATGGGTAGGACGGAAAGAATGACCGCATCCCGTCCCAATCTGCTGACCTATAGTGCCATACGCGGCGGCAGCCTACGAAGCGAGGCCGTGTAGAGCGCGCAACGGGCACTGTACTCCTGACAAGACAGTGGTCCGACGAACCAAGAGCAGGATCGACGGAAACCAGGTAGCCGTCCGGATGCGAGGTCAGCAGAAGGTCCAACAGGGAAGGTGTATGATCCTCCACATCTGGGATTTGCGTTGGCGAGGTGACCAGTTGTGTCAGATCATAAGCTATTGCGAAGTTGTGAAC